CCCCCCTTCCTTCCATCTTGCCTTCCCTCCTTCCTTCCTTTCTCTTGCTCTTCTTGTCAAATAGTTACAGAAACTAGAAAAAAATAATGTAAAAGTCACATATGATTGGTACTCTTACATTTGAAATCTCAATGTAGTATTTGGTTCTTTGTCAGTGAAGCTTTACTAGGCTCCTTATATAAGGCATCTTGCCCTATTAGTGGCAACACCATGGACATAAACGGAATACCCATCTCTAGATCTAGAAGAAGATTTGACTCCTTAATGGCAAGATGCAGTAAGCAATCATGCTTGCTAAATACGTTTCCTCTCTCTGCTGCTCCTGAGAAAAAGTGTTTCTCTATGAAATTTACTTAAACCAACTCTATTGAGACATCTATTTATTCATTCTTAATATGCTAGAACAAAGAGAGCCTTGATAATCCCTCTGTCACAGTCACAAGATCATAAGGAAGACGGTACTTTATTCTACGTTTGTCAGCGTGAACAAAGGCTTCTAATTATTTCCAAAACAGATTCTCATTTAACTTTTTTTAAAGCCAGTTTGAATTGACATCATGCATAATGGATGTGCTTGTAACTGAAATATTCTCTGACTTACTTGCTTTGATAAATCTTGGGTCCCAAACCACAGGATTTAGCAAAGCTTATTTAATTGCAGAAATACAATTTTTCAGCCTAGTTTTAAAATCCCCTGATAGCCTCAGAGCTACAGGGCACTGGCCTAAGGGCCTAAGGTGATACAAACACAAACAATATATGGTCACTAACTATAAGAAGCTTGTCATTTAGTAAGGGACTAAGACAACATGACCCCAAATGAGGCTCAATAAGAAAACTGTCATGGAAAGGTTCAAATAAAGAGTAGTGGCAGATCGAAAGTGAGACCCTCAGGACGAAGACTAAAGTGCAGGCATTAGGAAAGGCTTCGAGGAGGGAGATTATGGGTACCTGCTGTGAAAGTAAGATGCCCATGACAGCTTTGAGGACCTGCATCCTTAGGAAGAAATATTGCTCTATCTGTTGATTCCTCTCCTATTTCTTTCATCTTTGTGTTGTTTTGAATTATATTAACATTAATAGTGTTAGTTTTAGATGTATCCTTTAAAAATTTACCTCACTACGTGAGGTAAACAACTGTCCATAAAACCTGTTCATTCAAAAATCATGACAACCGGGGCGGGCCTGGGTGGCTCAGATGGTTAAGCGACCGCCTTTGGCTCAGGCCATGATCCTGGAGTCCCGGGATCGAGTCCCGCATCGGGCTCCCTGCTCAGCAGGGAGCCTGCTTCTCCCTCTGCCTCTCTCTCTGTCTCTGTCTCTTATGAATAAATAAATAAAATCTTTTAAAAAATCATGATAACTTCTATAAGGGCTAACGTTCTCAAATACCTTTGTTGAATAAACACTTTTGCCAAGGTAGTTATAATTTAAGGAGGAGATTTAAAAATTTGACAAAAATTATTTTCAAGTATTCTTAAAAACTTTTAAAATTATACATACATGATCAAATAATCTAAGCACATGTAATTTGTCTGTGTCTGTTTCAATGGTTCATCTAAAAACCATTGAATAAATGTTATAGTCCAGTTTTAGTTACCAGATGTTCTTAAAGTAATTAATTATTCTGCATTTCTTTTAATATATTGTATAGAATTTAGAGTTTTCTCAGGTCCTCGTGGGTTCTCCCATTTAATCTGACATAGTGAACATTACTGGATATATGCCTTGAAAACTCATATTCTCAGGTTTATAGGTCATGCAATAGTCCCCGAAAGACTCCTCCAATCCCCAAGAATGACTGGTGCCTGACCTTTCTGTCTTCTTCATAAGTAGACTTATGATCTACAACAGCTAATGGAGGTTCATGTACCAAGTAAGAAAGCTGAGACTTGGAGCGTTCTCGGATTGAAGCTCTGCAAATAAACAGAAACATGAAAGAGTCTGTAGATTATGGGCAGGTTGGAACAGGACTTAACTCTTGTTCAAGCTTACATCACACGTATCAAATAAACAGGAATGTTTGACAGGTCACATCGCAACCAGGTAAGGGAGCTTCCTGTTTAGGTTTCACAGAACTATTCCTATGGCGTAGCTATTTCAATTGGATCCTCTGAGTCCCGAGCTAGACTCTGACTCAGAGTGTGCTCAAGGAGGGAGGGAGAGGAGAAGAAAGCTGTCCCACCAGTCTACCAACAAAAGGTCCAAGATTCAAATCCATTCCAAATCCACACGGTCTGCTAATTGCTACCATGGCAACGGCCCAGCGCCTTTACCTTCCTTTTGGTTGTAGGTTGTAGTTTTGATACCTCTTTCTTTCTATAGTTACACCTGATGTTTACTTTAGTGTAAGGCCACCTGGATACAAATGAGCTAGTAGGAGGAAAATAGGGCCCCTACTGAGATTTTCTTTCTTCTTTTTTTAAAAGATTTTATTTATTTATTTGACAGAGAGAGAGAGAGAAAGAGAGAGAGAGCACAGCAGAGGAAGAGGGAGAAGCAGTCTCTCTGCTGAGCAGGGAGCCCGATGCGGGGCTCAGTCCCAGAACCCGAGGATCATGACCTGAGCCAAAGGCAGATGCTTAACTGACTGAGCCACCCAGTCGCCCCCCCCAAGTGAGATTTTCTTTAGGCTATGTACTGCCCCTAGAAATGCATTTAATTAACAAATATCTTATTGAAATAAAATTTATTTGATTCGTTTATTCATTTAACAGAAGCGTATTGGGCATCTATGACATGCAAGCCAATGCCAGGTGTGGGGATTACAGAGACTGGTCAAACACAGACTTCACCCTCAAGGAGTTTAAAATCTTACAGAAGAGCAAAACATGTACTCAACCCTAACCCTGTAAGGAAGAAATGTGCTAAGTGCTATAAAGCAGGTTTGAATAGAAAGTACGAAAATTTAAAGGAAAAAGAAACATATGGCAGGTGTTCCCATGAAAGGCATCATGGAAGAGGTGGCTACGGTAGGACTTGGGTATTTGTAGGAAGAGCATTTCTGATGGAGAGGATAATATAAACCAAAGCATGGAGACAGGAGAGAACAGGGTTCCTTAGTACATATACTTAGTGTAGCACAGACATAAGAAATTGGTTCAGGTGGTTTTGTCTTTTTCCTGAGATTTCTGAGAAGGAGACTCCTACTTTCATCTAGGTTAAACGTGAAAGTAGGTAGCGCTAGGAGTTGCTGGCAATTATGTCAAGACCCTCAAGGAAAGAAGCCTCCTGAAAAATAAGGCAAAAAAGAAGGGGGGGAACAAAGCAGAGCTGAGAAAGAAAGAGAAACTGCGTGCATCTCGGACACCTGATTAAAGCCCCAGGTTTGCCTGAAGCTAAGACATCCTTGGACTACTTCGTCAGGTAAACTGATTCTCTTCCTGGTTGAGTTAAGTTTCCAGTCATTTGCAAAAGTGGTAAGAGGCAATGCTGAAGACGAGAGGAGGGCATTACATTATCAAAGCACCTAATCTGCAGTAAAAAGGTGTAAAGAGAGAGACATAGAGCCAAGGATCTAGATGGAACCATCCACAAGTCCCTCTCCCTCATTTGTATCCAGGTGAAGACAAATGTCAGGGGCTGCTTGCTTATGACACATGTTCATCTGGCCTTCCTGAGGAGGCACTAACACCTTCATTCCTCTGCTTTGTTCCCACGTCCTGTTGGTGGCACTGCCACCCTCTTAGTCACCCAGGTTCAACAGGTGCATGTAGCTCGAGTCCTTCCTCGTCCTTGCTCTTGCACATTCACACTCTTGCCACATCTCATGATGATCGGGCCTGGAACCACTGCTCACCCCACCTCCCTGCTATCAAACTGCCGACTGGGACTCCCCAACTCCCTCCCGCCTGGCTCGAGACTCTCCAGCAATAGAGTTGCTCCTTTGGGTTAGTTAACTAAGGTCAAGAAGTCTTCTTCAGAATGCACGAGGAAGAGGCGTGTGTCAACCGGACAGAGCAGAGTACATGGTAGGGCTGAGATGTAAGGTCATGGGCCTAGAGAGACTCCCAGAGCACAGGAAGCCACGGTAGAGTATGTGGGAAAGGAAATATGGTTGACTTCCTCCCAGTCTTGAGCACGGCAAAACATATACCCTTGTTCCTTCGGGTTTCTACTACCTGAATCCTTCACAGACCATGCTACCTGTCTAGCATAGCCTGTCCCACTGAAAACCTGGGCCCACCTGGCAGCTCCCTCTGGTCCACCATAAGCACCAGAGTTAGAATTCTATCACACGCCTTTTTAGAAACCGACAACATGAGTCACATGGGTGGCTCAGTCGGTTAAGCGTCTGCCTTCGGCTCAGGTCATAATCCCAGGGTCCTGGGATTGAGCCCCGCGTTGGGCTCCCTGCTCAGCGGAGAGCCTGCTTCTTCCTCTCCCTCTGCTGCTCCCCCTGCTTGTGCTCTCTCTCTCTGTGTGTCAAATAAATAAGTAAAATCTTAAAAAAAAAAAAAAGAAAGAAACCGACAACATAGGCCAGTCCCTTTCTCAGAAGCTGTGTAGCACTTCTCTCCGCAAATAAAAACAGCTAATTCGGGGACTAAATAACTCTCCCACTTTCTCTCTCTCTCTCAACGTTATTATTCAGGAAATTAGTTCCTGTTATCCATTAAATTGTTCTTGAACCCAAAATATATTACTAAAGAGAGACTGAGCTGTCAGAAAGACCAAAGCCAAGGAAATAAGATATAAATTAACATTTAATTTAGTCATCATTTAGCAAAAATATCTGTCAGCATACACAATGAGATATTTTTAACAGACCTTCCTACTTAAACTTATAAATCTTTCTCTGCAGGAGGTTAATAGCTACTTTCTGGGTATAGATTATATTTCTGGATTTCTCGTCCTAGTCACCAAAATGTAGAATTTGTGAGAATTAATAGCCAAATAGGAAATGTTTATATTAAAAATGGTTACTTGGTCCTAATAATAAACTGTAAGTAAACTACTTAAAACAAGTAGAATTTTGTGCATCTGAAAAGTTAAGAAAATATTTATTTTCTTGTTGACATGATGATGAAATATATCACTTCCTCTTTACAACCTTTAGCCCAGTAATCAAAAGAGGTGCCTAGCCATGTTCTGTGTTTAAGAAGGTAGTCAGTATCTTCAGGTTGTGATTCCAATGACCCTTATAATTTTTTTCCTCCAATCAGAGAAGCATGGTTAAACATAATGCCTAATATTTATAAAAATCACCTAACAATTTTGGCAATTTTTTTAGCTTTTACTTTACAGAGTAACTTGAAGTTATTGCTTTATTATTTTCCAAATTCAATAAATTTGATAAAACCAGCATTTCTTGAAATTTTTATGAATAGACTTATTCTCAAAAGGAAAAATAAAAACTAAGCATAAGCTCAGTGAACTATTCTCTTTTTTCTTTTTGAGTATAGTTGATATACAATGTTACATTGGTTTCAGGTGTGCAACATAGTGATTCAACAACTCTATATACATTATTCTTTGAATATTAAAGATAAATCTGTGTTTGAATTACTTGGGGTTGTTACCTAAATGTTTTATTTTAAGCCTCTTTAAACCAGCTTTCAATAAGCAATATACTACTTTGAAAAAGCAAGTCTTATAACTGAGCCTTTGCCCAGAGTACAGCCTTGAATTAAACATCCTAGAAATGGTAAAGGCGACAGTAAGGAAATCTGCTGTCACCCATTGTTTATGAACAGCCTCCTAACTTAGGGAAAAAAATCTTAAGTAATATCTTCATGAAGAGAGATACTCTTGGGCAGAATTCTTCCTAATATGCAGACTTTTAACGTTAAAGGAATTTTTTACTGAAACTCTTAAGTGAGGATGAAAAACTAAAACTTACAATCTTGCTAATAGCATATTCCAAAAATATGTTTGAAAGTCAATACCCCTATATTCATCCACAAAATAAATAAATAAATAAATAGCTGGGGTTTAAGGAAATTCTTTTCAAATGCTAAAAAAAAAAACACTTCTTTTTTCATCTAGTTAAGTAATGATTTGAATTCAGATGGGTCACTCTGGAAGCAGGAATATTTGTATTTCAATTGCAGCTCAGCAAGTGAAAGAATGGCCCTAAAACCATGAACTTTACCTCCATGTAAAACAATGGTTTATACCATGGTTAGATCTAGGGGACAAGACCAAACAGATTTTTTAAATACCCTTTCTAAGCTCAATTAACAACATTTTAATTATAAAGCATCTCTGTCATGACCCTACCCACAATAAGACAAGAAGCTAAAGTTAAACAAAAAATCCCCATGAACTGGAAACAGAAAATGTCAATATAGCAACCAAGGATTCATTTGCACATTCATATCACATGAAACCTGGGGCTATGCTCAAGGCTATCCTGGTTTTACCTGAGATATTGCCTGAGGATCATAGGTGCAGAGGGCTCCTAAGAATATTTTTAAAACCTTAACATCTGCCCCATGCCTTCAACTTACCTTAAACTAGCCTGGTAGCTCCCTCTGCAAAAGGTCTGTTTGTTGTCAAGTGAGGCCCCGTCCGTTTTATCTTCTCCTATTCAACAGAACATGAACGATTCCTTAGTGTATACAATAAGGAGAACCATATCAAAAGAAAACTTCTTACTGTGCTCTTGCCTAGCCTATCATTACTATGTCTGATGCTAAAACATTCTATTAACTTCATTGTGGCAAATAAAACTTAACGCGTATCCAGCACATTCTAACAAAAATAAAATGTCAAGATACTCAGCAGGGGGTGCCTGGCTGGCTCAGTCCAAAGAGCATGCAACTCTTGGACATGGGGTTGTGAGTTCCAGCCCCACCTTGGGCATAGAGATTACGTAAATAAATAAATAAATAAATAAACTTAAAAAAATACTCAGGATTGAATTTTTTGAGCTGTGTGATACCCCCTGTGTTATCTCCAACAAATAGATATTTGAAAGAATGAATCATAAAAAACTGAAGGGAAACCCACTAGAGGTCATTTCTATGGGAGATTCACCAAATTAAAAAAGAAAAAGAAAAAAATCTTTTCAGAAGAGATCACATATGTTAAATATACACAGTAGTTTTACCCGGTGGGGTTCACAAATCGAGATGTGGTATGTGGTATGGTAGAGAAAGTTTGAAGTGGTGGTTGGTTAATGTAGGTTGGGATAAGTTACCAAATCTGAAAATTCAAGCTAAAAAACAAAGGATGCACTAGGGCCTGACGTATCTATTTGCTATTTGCTTTAATGAAAATGAGCAGTGTTTAGTCACTGATTGATTTACTCAATCAGCAAGAATAGAGGTCCTACTGGGCGCCGGACACTCTAGGAAGGCTTTCCGATTTGCAAAGTGGGGAGAGGAGAACAAAGGGGGTGGCTTTAAAATCATCTTCCCCAGAAGACCTGGGTTTTAGCTCTCTGACTCAATCAAGTAACTGAACCTCCTGAGATTCTGTCCTTTCTCTTACCATCTATATAATGCCTCCAAGGGCTTTTGGGGGAACAAATAAGACAGTGTTTATTAAAATGTATAGAAATCCACGAAACTATGAGAGCTAACAAACATAATGCTCTACAGAATGTACAAGTGTAATGGAAAAGACACTTGCCTTTTATGCCTTCTACGTTAGCAGCCTGATCACCTTGACTCTGCAAAGTCACTAGAGTGAAGTAGACTCCTTTCCGTTCCAACAGTTCCTCATGGGTGCCTCTTTCCACTGCTGTACCATGTTCAAAACCAATAATGACATCTGCAGCTCTGACTGTGGACAGGCGATGAGCAACTGAAATGATCGTATGTCCCTGCTGAATCTGTAAGAATGTACATTGCACTGTTAACCAAACAGTAAGACAGAGCTGACATTGACATTTGGATGGTCTCAGAACCCACAAGTGATCAGAGCCTGGGTCCTTGGGAAAACCCTCAAATAGGCACTCTGCAGACATTAGAAAAGGCCGGCGCACTTTGTCAAGGTCATGAACACCCCACACGTTGGTCCAGTTGCTGCTATTAATCAACAGCTAAAATCAAAATTGAAATTTTTGAAATCACATATTATAAGTTAGATTTAATAAGATTTAAAATTTTGCATTTGTTGCTTTTGGAAGCAAGCCATTCTGACTTCTATTCAACTATGAGGAGCAGTCTAGTCGGTATTTTCTAAACAGTCAGACTGGAGACACTGACCCATGTAGTCCTTCTCCTTCCCTCCCCTTCTCCATCCCTCCATTCCCCTTCTCCCTCCTCTCTCAGTGAGCTGCCTTTCCTACAGCACATTTCCACATGGTCTTGTAAAATGAACTCAGACTTTCAACAGACCTTACTCAGTGCCTCTTGTACCATGGCTTCACTCTCGTTGTCCAGTGCCGAGGTGGCCATGTCCAAAAGCAGGATCTTGGGGTTTCGGACAAGGGCTCTGGCAATGGCCACTCTTTGTTTCTGGCCACCACTCATCTGGCCTCCTCCCTCTCCGACAAGAGTGTCAAATTGCTAGGAAGAAGATGACACCGGTAATGAAGACGAACAATTTGATGACTCCTGGCAGTGATCATTACAAGATCCTTTCTAGCTCCCTTCTCAAGCATGAATTTTCATAGGCGCAACTTTCACTGAAAGAAATACCCTTTCCTGAAACAGGTTACTATCTGATCAATATTTGTGTGTAAGATAAAGAAACTGATTTATTCTTGGGGCGCTTGAGTGGCTCAGTCAGTTAAGCGTCTGCCTTTGGCTCAGGTCAGGATCCCAGGGTCCTGGGATGGAGCCCCACATCGAGCTCCCTGCTCAGCGGGGAGCCTGCTTCTCCCTCTCCCTCTGCCACTCGCCCTGCTTGTGTTCTCTCTCTCTCTCTGCCAAATAAACAAATAAAATCTTTGAAAGAAAAAAAAGAAACTAATTTGTTCTTTCATTCCCGGGTTCACTGGGCTGTATAACTGTTTCTCCCTAGCTCAACTTCAAATAAAATGTTTTCACCAAAGTAGGAGCACCTGGGTGGCTCAGTTGGTTAAGCATCCGACTCTTGATCTCAGCTCGGGTCTTGATCTCAGAGTCCTGAGTTCAAGCTCTGTGTTGGGCACCACACTGCGTGTGGAGCCTACTTAAAAAAAAAAAAAAAAAAAAGTTTCCACCAAAGTAAAGGTTGATCAGGGTCCTGAAAACCCATTTTAAAGGGTTAAAACACCTATCAAATTCTTCCCTCTTTTCTCTAGCTAAGCAACACAGAAAAAGAAATATTAAAGCTGTCTCTATATTACCAATGAAAGATCAAGCTGGCTGTACAATCATTACCATCGACAGCAAAAAGTTACTGAGTATCTTTCATGTCTAGCATTATATTGGAATCTCACAATGATGTCAGGCTCTTGTCTTGTTTATTATTAGCCAACATGAGTTGAGCATTTACCATGTATAAAGCATGAAGTTGAGCTCTTTACACATATCACCTCATTAGTCCTCCCAGATGCCCCATGAGGCAGGTACTACTGTTCTCCTCAATCAACGGGTAAGGAAATGCTGGGGTGTAAGGGGCTAAAGTAACTTGCCCAAGTTTATAGAGCTTGCAAATGGAGAAGCTGGGATTTTCATGGAGGCAGTCTGATTCCAAAGCTTTATACTCTTTACCACTGGACTATATCATACTCACAGCTGCAATCCTATTCACACAGGTAATCTAGAAGGCTGAATAGGAAATGATCTAGAGCACAGACTCTGGAGCCAGACTACCTGGATGTGAACCTTGACTCTCCTGCCTTGAGCAATTTATCTGACTTCTTGGAACCTTAGTTCTCTCTTCACAGATGGAAATAATAATAGTAGCTGCCAGCAGGATGGTTGTGAGAGTTAAATGAGATGTAAAGTGCTTAGAACAGTGTCCGGTAGGTAGTAAGCACTATACATATGTTAACTGGTAATAACAGCTCTTCTTTGACTTAGGAGACCATTTGACTTAGCAGCCACAAAATACACATAAGTGTAATAATATAGAGTTGGTTTTTGTTGTCATTGTCTAAAATGAAGATAAATGAGGAATTTTTGAATATGTGAGATACAGTACTGAGGCCACAGAATTAGCTGCCTAAGCCCAAGAAAATGAAAGAACAATGACACTGGTAGGCATCAATGAACATTGTGTAAGTCATTGCCACATAACAAATTTATCAATTGCTTAGACAAATGCTCAACAGATGGAGTAAGAAGATTGTACCTCTGTCAAAGGGAGCTTTTAAAAGAAAGTTCCCCTGTTTGTAGATTTTAATATATCAACAACAATATGCTTTCAGGCAAAGGAGAAAACTCATGGTACATTTCCAGGAATGAAACCTAGCATGGCATTAAGAATTTAATGATTTGGGATTCAAATGGAAAGAAATGTATAGTATCGTGTAACTTTTTCTTTTTCCTTTTACAACTTTCTGAGTTCTGCTCCCCCACCCCACCCAGGATGAGAGGCCAGGGGTACCTGTGGCAGATCCATGATGAAGCTGTAGGCATTGGCTGCCTTGGCAGCTCGAACTATATCTTCCATTGTTGCGTCCTCTCTGCCATAACGAATGTTCTCTGCAATGGTGGTGGAGAACAGAACGGGCTCTTGCTCCACCAACCCAATCTGAGCTCTAAGCCACTGAATGTTAAGAGAGCGAAGGTCATGGCCATCTAAAGTCACCTAGAGACCATAAGCACAACGTCACATCTCTTGGAACCCTTCAGGGTTCTGAATCAAAATGTTATGTTCTACTTGACCTATGGGGAGAAATAATAGAGACCCACAGGATTATAACAGAAATCATTCCTCCCATAATGAGGTTGTTTATATAGGAGTGTTGATATATAGTTGAAATCAAGTCTAGCTGTAGAACAATTCGTTGTAAAAACACAAATGATATAAAGGTCAACTAATGTAATATGACTGGCCCAAGAATGGAAAAAAAAGGGGCGCCTGGGTGGCTCAGTTGGTTAAGCGACCGCCTTCGGCTCAGGTCATGAAGAATGGAAAAAAAAATCTAATTCTTCAATAGAGTCAAGTCAGTTATTCACCATACTTTATACATTTTTATTATCGTTTGACTTCTGACCTAAAATGGACTTTAAAAGCTACAAAGGAAAGAAGACATGGTCCCTATCGTGTAGGTATGGTTTACAGTAACTCTTACTTTCTGGCTGGATTCATCAAATAGAACTTTACTGTTCAAAAGTAATTGAAAATGTAAATGGGATAAACAAAAATCACTATTAGCAAAAAAAGTAAAAATCTTACATCAAGAGACCATGATTTCTATGTATTCAAGAGTATAGTTATGCTGGTATGTAGCAAAGAATACCTGTAGGATGAACCGTCCATAACAAAGAAACATTCCATTATGTTTGTCATGTCAGTGTAACAGCACACCCATGACAGGGAACGCCTTGCATTGAAGCCACTTGATACACACTCAGATGATTCTATCTCAAAGCATCAAGGAGATGTTGACAAGAATGACTTGGAGAGCGTAGAAAGAGCAGAGCCTTTGACATCTCAGGGCCCTGGGTTCAAATCAGAAGCAGGTCTCAATCTCTCTGACTCTGCTTCCTTTTCATAAAATGAGCATATATACCTTGGGGCTCATTTTGAAAATAAGTAATCATCTTCACAAAGTACTTGACATATGTGATAAACAAATGGCAATGGTGGCTATTTATTTTCTTAGTTTCAGTCTATGTTTATAAGCAAGTAAACACACAAGGAGAAAAGAGATGAAGGAGTTGGTGAAATTATATGATTTGTCTTTAAAACCTAAATTCTCAAAGCAGTCATCATTCATTCATTCATTCATTCCAGCCATGCAACTTTTCCTATACTTGGCATTTGGAAAACTTGAAGAGACAATAATGATTTTGTTACAATACAAAGAAGGAAATGGAAATGCGAAGTCACTGACGAGGCAGCAACACCATTTTGAATGTGTGTGCACATCCCTGAGCAAACGGGCTGGTCGTTCATTGAACACGACCGCCGTGCAGGGAATCAGTCCAGTCAATTCAGTCAAAACCTCAGGAAGTCAATTCTGTGTGCGTCAGGACGGTCTCTGTGTACCCTAGGCCTTTGTGCTTGACCAATTTATCCCCATTTGCACTCTCCCATCCCCATGCATTGAGAGGCTTCTGGAAGACACCCACCATGCCTTCACTGGGGTCGTAGAAACGCTGAATAAGCTGCAAGGCTGTACTTTTCCCGGATCCACTGGATCCTACCACAGCTGTCATTTCCCCTGATTTAACGACCATGCTGAGGTTATCTAAAATCTGTAGAGAAAAGAAAAGAACAATGTTCAGATTGTCAGCAATTAGACTTGTAAGTTAGGATGCTTTGTGATGAAACTCTGTATGTATTTACTTATGCCCTCAAAGCAGTAACTATCAATATCTGTCAATAACCAGAAAATCAGCAAACAGTGCCTATGATGAGGTTTTAGCATTTAGCACATTACTCATTAATAAATTGATAGTGGCACCCAAGAAAGAAAATGATGTGTGGTAACATTATTGAAGTAAATAAACCACGCCAACTTGTAAAAGTATGCTCCAGAATCCACATTTAAAACATTTCTGATAGGGATGCCTGGGTGGCTCAGTCGATTAAGTGTCTGCCTTTGGCTCAGGTCATGATCCCAGGGTCCTAGGACCCAGCGCCTTATCAGGGAGCCCACTTCTCCCTCTGCCTGCTGCACCTCCTGCTTGTGTTCTCTTTCTCTCTCTCTGACAAATAAATAAATAAAATCTTTTAAAAAAAATAAAACACTTCTGATATACTAGGATGCCTCAAGGAGACTGTCCCAATTAAGGAAAGAAAGCCATTAAGTTAGAAATACAATACTAATTTACTGATCATGGATTAACAATAAACTAATGTACAAATTTTAAGCTGTCATACACTTGTATTGCATGTGAACATCTTATCTGAAAAACTTTCCCTAACAAATGTTTGTGATGTGTTTATTAAGTTTAAAGCACTGTTAAAGGTAGAGACTGAATGCTGGTAGGTCTAGAAAGGGAAGAACGGGAATCTAATTCAGAAGCATCTGTTGGATATTTTCACCAATTCAGTGGTGATTTTTATACCTCTTATGTAAAGGTGGTTTGGGGTCCTTTGTGTGACAGAATCTCACGTCTTTCATTTCACACTAGAGAGTTAGGCTTGCAAATATACTTTCATTTACTGTAATCTCCCCCAGGGCGGGCAAGCGTAGTGTGTGCTTTTTCTCATTATAGCCCGGGACGTGCGGCACCCAGCAGGGCTGAGTACATATAGGTGTAAGTAAGAAGATTTTATTAAAATAAACCACTGGTGTTGGGAATAGAGGATAAAACAGAAATGAAATAAATGTGTTTTAATTCAACTGGTATTTATGAAACAGCTATTATGAGCTAGTTCTGAACAGATTTTCTAAAGCAAGTTTTAGCCATCCATTAAAAAATCTTTACTGAGTACTATCTTGTGGTTTATCTTTCACAAGGTACTTTGACATATGTTGTGACATTTAATGTTTCCATACATATGTGATATGTAACAGTAATAGAAAATATACTTCAGCAATTTAATCAGAATATATAGGTACCTGTGTTTTATATATATATATATATATATATATATATAATGTATGTGTGTGTGTGTATGTATGTGTTTACCTATGTTTTAGGTATGTAGTATCAGAATTAAGTTGCAAGGGATTTAGTTCCCATAACAGAAATATTAAAAAAGGGTGGCTAGAGGTATTCTTCTTTTTTTTAAGATTTTATGTATTTATTTGACAAAGAGACACAGTGAGAGAGAGAACACAAGCGGGGGAGTGGGAGAGGGAGAAGTAGGTTTCCCGTGGAGCAGGGAGCCCGATGAGGGGCTCGATCCCAAGACCTGGGATCATGACCTGAGCCGGAGGCAGACGCTTAACGACTGAGCCACCCAGGCGCCCCGGCTAGAGGTATTCTGTTAAAAAATTAGGAATAAATCTCATTTCGAAGTCAACCTACTCAAGGAGAGTAGATCCTAATTTTCCTATAGATGAAATTGCCTTTAAAAATACTTGCTCTGTAGGTACAGGAAAACTAAATGTTCTTCCGCATGTGCCCTGGACAATTACCTAGCCCAAGACACATGAGCATGAGGCCACAAGATTACCCTTCCTCCAAAGACTGATCTAGTGACCCTTGTGAACTTACAGATAGGAAGCGAAAAACTACAAAGGCAGCAGCTTTTCTTTGCCAGAAGTACCCTACCCACTCAGTGTTCCGCCTTCTGCATCTGTACTTCTGGATTGTTCTGATTGCCTTGCAGTTTATTCAGCTTATGCTTACAATGACAGGCCCTGCCACTCATTTCAACAGAGGATCGTACTTAATTTGACCTAACCTGAATGGGTTGCCAGACTGTGTCCTCCCCAGAGGGATTTGCACATTGTCTACTACAAAGGAATGTGACTTGTTGCCTAAGAAATGACATGATGCCTAAGGGTACTTCTAGACAAACGTGCTTCTATTCCTTCTTCCTGCAAACTGTCATACTTCAGAAAAACAAGTAAGTTGTGGCCCTGGATATGAATCATCAAAGAAGAAAAATGCCGTCATTCCTAGAGAAAAGATGAACACTTACCTTCACCTCTGGTCTGGAAGGGTAGTGGAAGGTCACATTATGGAATTCAATTTCGCCCTTAATTCGATCCAACTTGTAACCCTCCTCTGACATGCAGTCAATGATGGGTTTCTGGAGTAGAATATAAAAGGAATATAGCTACAACAAAGGTATATGCATCTGTTGTCCATCCTGGTTTGAATTTACTCATAAAACAGAACAACAACCAGGTAAAACACTGCACCAAAGTTGCTTCCAGATTAAATATTTATCAATAATAGTAATAATACTAACATTTACTGAGATATTAATATGACATATTATATTACTAGATATGAATAGTATTAGCATATCATATTACACACATAATATATTAATAGATAACCAAACATACACAAAGAATTAATACATAATTAATTATAATGAATATGAAATAAATGTCAATATATAATTGACATATGCCTTCACATTAATTAAATGGAATTAACTTAATTATTATTACCATTTGTTGATATATTGCTATGACATATATTATTATATAACAATATAATAACAATATATAACAATATTATAATATGTAGTATTGATCTATAGTTATGTTAGTATATAATATATTATTATTATGTATTATTATATTATTGCAATACCATGGAAGAAAATTTACAATTGTCTTTTTTCATTTATGTAATTGTCACTATAACCTAACTAGACAGGTGATACGCTCAATTGTTCGTTGAGGAAGTAGAGAACTCTCAGAGAGGTTAAGTATCTTTCCTAAAGCCACACAACTAGTCAGCCAAGCTGGAGTCCAATAGTACTCTACATCTGAATACCTATCGTAGATGATAATTAAAACTAACTGAATGTCCTTAAGTGGTATCCTCAAATACTACCAACCTTTAGTTGTTATTCTGAATTTCACCTCTGTTGTTGTTAGTGTGAGCCTAATCTAGAATTTAAACATTCTAGTTAATCAGACAAGAATGAGGGCTACCCCCTGCCACCAGAACACTCCAGGGTCAGCTTCTTCTCCCTTCTACACTTGTGAGAGAAATTCATCATCATATCTCTATCTGGGGCAATAGTGTAATCTACTTTCTTCCTCTTGGGTCTCTCGTAAAGATAATAAAGTAATTTTTAAAGGCCTTAGTTTTTTGTAATAGCTTCAAAGGCCTTTTAGACTCGTCATCTTATCTGAGCATATAATAACCCTAAGAATGAGGTAGAATTTGGATAACTCAATGTGTCTATGTGGTTTTCAACAATCTGTTTATACTGCAATATATGAAGCCCCAGATATAAAACAGATAAAGCGATGAACAGTCTCCTCACGCAGGTTTTATGCTTCATAAATACTGAAGATTTAGGGGACCAAAGAAACACTTCCGGCTTTCCATGGCTTCCAGAGAGGAAGAACAACATCTTGCCCGCTTCCTCCTTCTATTCTCAGATTTTGACTTTCTAGCTGGATCTCCAATGCGCTTCAGTAGATTAAATCCTAGCTAGGCTACCAGAATCCTTTACAAGCTTGTAGAAGCTTTCTGTCACAGTTAGAAGATAATCTAAACCTATGAACTTGGCTTTAAAGACCTGCATTATCTGGCCCCTTCCTCTCCTTCCAGCCTCTGTACTCTTGCTCACTCTGCTCAGACACACTGACCTTGTTTTAGGTCCTTGCATTCACCAATCCTTTTCCAACCAGAAGTGCTCTCTTCCAGGAATAGCCTCCCTGCCCTCACTTCCCACGCACGGCTCCTCCCCTAAACCTCACTTTGCATGGCTGACTCTCCTTGCGGTTCTCAGCGCAAATACTACCTCCTCAGAGATGATGTTCCCCTCACTTGAAGACTCCTCCCCTCACCCCAACCGTTACCACGCTATTTTATTTCCTTTATTGCACTGATATTATCCTAGCTTTGAATGTACTTCTTTTTTCAACTTTTATTTTTCACTGAAGTATGTTTGGTTTCAGGTGTACAGCATAGTGATTCGACAATTACATTACCAAATGCTCACCAAGATATGTGTAGTTACCTTCTGTCATACAAAGTTATTATGGTATCACTGGCTACATTCTCTATGCTGTACTTTTCATCCCAGTGACTTATTTATTTTACAACTGGCAGTTTATCCCCTTCACCCCAACCCCCTAGCCCCCTCCTCTCTGGAAACCACATTTGTTGTCTGTATTTATGAGTCTATTTCTGTTTTTTTGTTTGTCCATTTGCTTTGCTTTTTGGATTCTCCATATAAGTGAGATCATATGGTATTTGTCTTTCTCTGTCTGACTTATTTCACTCAGCATAATACCCTCTAGATCCATAAACGTGCTTACTTCTTTATTGCCTGTTTTCCAGTATGATAAGAGAGCAAGGGCCTTATTTGTTCTATTTCACTCCTGCAGTCCCATCTCACTATGGGGTCTGGCTGATGACAGCCCCTATTAAGTATTGCTGAATTAAGGGCATTGTGATAGCCCCTCATTTTTCTTAACATTGAGGGTAAATTCCTCAGAACTTCATTTTTCTCCCCACCCCCAACCTGTTCATGGCCTTTACTTTGGCTTTCACCTACCCGGTCTATTGTCTGAAAAATGCTGGTGGCCGCTGCACGCCCAGTCGCAAAGGCTTCCAGACAAGAAGATGCATTGCCAAGATTTAAAGCTCCTAATAGAATACTGAGGAAAATCTGAAATGAAAAGAGATAAACATAGTTTTCGTGTGTTTTTGTCAATTTGTAAATAGTGCCATCATTTGGGCTATCCACGTGAGCTCAGATATTTCTCAGAAATATTCTTCCATGGGAGTTTGAAAGCTAAATAGCTCTTTAGAAACACCTGGAATAGTTTTTGTTCTGCAAAGTATCTCCAATTTTTCTATTGTTATGGTTTAAAAGACTACATTATATTTAAATGAACATCTATGTGTAGAACACTACACTACAAGAGTGTAGAACAGTATTCTACAAAGAAGAACATATTTTGAAATGAGTATGAGGTCTAAGCAAGGCAGCATATAGACACAAAGTGAGTTAGAATAGTGATATGATAATTCAGTTTGTAATATAAACAGGCTTATATAGTCTTCTGGTTAAAGGGTAACTGAAGCAATGAAGACAGTGATCAGCTTGATTGCTCTAGAGATAGGTACAAGCAATATAGGTTTGCTACTATATTGTTGCTACTAGTAGACTATTACTAGGATAACTACCGCTATTACTACTACTACTACTTTTACTATTGTATATTTCTAAGTGCTTTACCTGTATTACTTCACTTAATCCATACAACAGAAGAGAAAACCAAGGTGTATGGACGTTCCCTAACTTACCCTACATTACAACATTTATTAAGTGGTAGAGCAGTATTTGAACCCAGGCTCTTGACTGACATTCTGTTTCGCAAACAGGCCCATCTGCTGCTGGTGGCATGCAGTTGGTATGGCGAGGTTCCTGGGCAATGCTGAGGAAACTGTCCTTTAACTCACCAACCCAGTCATGTCATTAAGTTAGGGGAAGGCGACTTGATCATGAGCAGATGTTCCTACCAAATAGCGCTCTGTGTTTATCAGTGCTGTTTATAAAGAAAGAAGCAATGAGGCAATTTGTCACGTGCCTCTAGGAGGAGCACAAGAGTTCTTTTGACCAAATGGGTGCTGGTCACATGATGCTTATGGGGGATGTTTCATTGACCACCATCCTTCATGGACCGGAGTTACTTGCTGAGCTGAAGATCGGCTGCTGCCTGAATGTAGTCTTCAGACAGTCAAATGAACCCAGTCTGTGATGGTTTCCCTGCTTTCTTTCGATCTTCTGTCTGGACCATGAGACTCCTCAGAGCCTCCCAGCTACCTCCCCTCGTCTTCAGTAACCTCCATTCCACATACCATGATGATGTACACCAGTGCCCTCCTGCCTTCTCCCTGAATTCCCCGCTCCATGTGTGGGACAAACATTCCCTTTTCATCTTTCTTGTTCCTTGTCCTGAATTACACAAAGTAGTTCCTCCTATGGGCAGATTACTTCATCTTTCAAGCCCCAATTTCTTTATCTGTAACACAGGGGTACTAAAAGCATACACCTCATGGGACTTTTATGAGCATTAAATGAAATAATTAGTTTAAAGGTGATGAATCCAGTGTTAGCCACATAAATAATAGTGATGTTGAAAGAAGCAAGATTCCACACTTAGGAAGTGATACAGTGAATAGACAGAACAGTACATCTCTAAATTGGGTTAAGACCACATTTATCAGATTTCTTTCCAACTGAGCAAAGGAAACCTTCCACATGTCCTAGATCAGGGGTGAGCAAACATTTTCTATAACACGCCAGAGAGTATGTATTTTAGGCTTTTTAAGGCCAAATGGGCTCCGAAGCAATTACACAACTCTGCTATGTACTACAAAAGCAGCCATAGACAATAGTGAACAGATAATTGTGGCTGTGTTCCAATAAAACTTTATTTACAAAAACAGGCATCAGGCTGGGTTTGGCTGGGGGATCATAGTTTGCTGACTCCTGCTCTAGATTCTAGGTTGAATCACTAGGGGCCTAAGCTGAGGTTTGCAATCAAACCCTGCTCAGCCTGGCTTTGCAAATGTCTCCCTCGGGGTACTTAGGGAAAGAGTGCGTGGGACAGGACAGAGGCCTATACCTAGTATCATCACAATGGCTAGCACCCATCCCAACAGACCATCATTTCCCACCCCAAACATTTCACTCTAGCCCCGTGGACAGCAGCGTGGGAGTGGGAAAGGCCCGGGAGACCACTGGGGAACAATCTATCTATGGGTGTGCTGTGTTGAGGAAAAGGTGGCTCCTTGGAAGTCAGATCCAGAGGCAGGAAAACAGTGGTTAATGAGTCAGGCCCCTGGAGGCACAGGCATGTGAGTTTATATCCCCCTCCATGCCTCTCAACACATATTTTTCAACCTCGTGGCTCCATTTCATTTTTAAGTGGTAGTACAACGACATCAGTACAGAATGAAGTTTTGCTATGACATATGGTATTTATATGAAATATGCTACTTAGTGCTTGACACCTTATACACACTGAATAATGTTACTATCTATTCCTGCTGTTATTTTTTATTATTGAGTCCTGAAACCTGGGGAGCACAACAGAGCAGCCTTCTGCACTCTTCAATTCCCTTTCATCTTCTCTCCTAATAGATCACAGGGTTTGTTTTTTGTCTGTGTACAGGTGATGCCAATCACAGTCATTTATGTGAACCACTTACCATGTATGCTCAATTACCATGCAGCCAATAATGATTTTATTCATCAGAAAATATATTCGGTTAACCTAATTGTTAATTACTTTAGTGGATTGATAACACTCAACTCAGCTCATGTATACTCAGACTTCATAGTTTGCTACTCAGAAGTATGGCCAAAGATGTGCCTGCAAACATGACTGAGAGAAAGAGAGAGATGGAGGGAGGGAGGAAGGGAGAGAAAGAACAATCAATGATTATACTGTTAATGGGGAGGTCTCTCATTTTCCCAAAGGGATCTTTCTTAAGGTGTAAGCAGAGGCTTGTAGGAAGGTGTTGGAGTAAGAGGTAAGGTTAATAATTGATGATTAAAATGTTAGAGACACATAGTATGTCACATCTGCACATAATAAGTACTCTCTCAGCCCAATTATTTACAGAAGGTATAGACAAGAGTGGACACTTGAAGCTGAGGAGTGTCAAATTCGTTAAACAAGGAGGCCATTAGGCTGAGGTTGATTTAATGCCTTAGTAGCCTGCATGAGCAAACCAAAACCTAAGCGCAAATGCCTCAAGGTTAGGACATCAAGAACCTAAGGGCAACCAATCACAAATGGTCAATTAAGCTTCCCCAGGCAAGGCAACTGCTTAAGCCAGAGCCAATCAAATCATTGTTTTGCTTTCCTTCTGCCTCTTCTCTATAAAAGTCTCCCCCACCTCCCACCCCCCGGCCTCTGTAGGTAGAGAGTGGCTTCTCATCACTTCTGGCTTGATGCTGCCTGATTGGAATTATTTTTGCTTAAAGAATCTCCTAAAAATTTTAGTATGCCTCAATTTATCTTAGAACCATAACACTGCATTCCTGCTAGAGAGAGTAACCAAGGCGTTTTTAAATTCAGTGTTTCCAACTAGAATTGTGTATTATTTAATTTTCAATTTACCAATTCATTCTTCCCTCTGAACTGTTATTTGGGCACACCTTTGTCCTCTCCTTGCAGTCATGGAATGACGGAAGGATGTCTTTTCTCAGCGCATGTTTTTCTGCAGAACGAGCAGATAGAAGCATCTGGGACTGCAGTCGACTGGTAAATGTTGAAAGTTATTAAGAGTCATTAGACCAACAAAGATGAGGGACTTTGTAGTCAGGTTTCTGACCTGCAATACTTTCACTGGATTTTCAAATGTGCAAAGCTATGTTAGAGTTGTTAAGAAAGTGCTTAAATTGTAATAACAGCAACATTTTCCATCTATACTATCCATTTAAGGTTCAAAAGACACTTTAACACATCTTATCATATTTAATTTTTTAAAACAAGTTCAAGTGATGCCAATTGTTCATCTTGCAAAGAAGAACTGAATTTTAAAAAGTTGTTCTTAGTGTATCATCAAGCTGTTAACGAGATAAAGTCAGTAGCTTAGATTGACTATGGTTTGACCTCACCGCTGATAATCATTTGTAAATAAATACATTTATTTGTTTAATAAATTTAAACAAATAAATAAAATTCCATTCAACTTTCCCTAGAAATGTATTTATATTAAAGCAGTAGATCTCAAATTATAAGCTATCAGCTAGCAAATTTCTAGTAGATAAGATTTTGGCATTTTTCATTGTTTAATGAACAATGAAAATCTATCTCACCTAGAATCTTTTTTTTTTTTTTAGATTTTATTTATTTGACAGAGAGTGAGAGAGAGAGCTAGAGAGGGAACACAAGCAGGGAGAGTGGGAGAGGGAGAAGCAGGCTTCCTGCTGAGCAGGGAGCCCGATGTGGGGCTTGATTCCAGGACCCTGGGATCATGACCTGAGCCAAAGGCAGACGCTTAACGACTGAGCCACCCAGGCTCCCCCTCACCTAGAATCTTGAGCCAAAATATTTTATTTAAGAATCATATATGAAACTGCTTTACATCTCCATGCTTTAAAAATTAATATACTTAATTACGGGGCACCTGGGTGGCTCAGTCGGTTAAGCATCCGACTCCTGATTTCAGCTCTGGTCATGATCTCAGGGCTGTGAGATTGAGCCCTGCATCAGGCTCTGCCCTCAGTGCAGGGTCTGCTTGAGATTCTCTCTCTCTCTCCTTCCCTCTCCCTCTGCTCCTCCCACCCCTTGTGTGTGCGTGCTCGATCTCTCCTCTCAAATAAATAAATAAAATCTAAAAAAAAAGATTAATATATGTAATTAAATAATTAATAGGCCAAATGAAACATTTATTTCATGTTTTATCTCCCTGGCCTCCTGTGTGGGGGCAGGAAGCGGTGGGCACAAATGTAAACAAACCCAAATGGTCAATTTCATTCAAGGGCTCTGAAGGAAAAGTTCAGCAAGCCATACAAGAAAATAAAAGATTGGGTGAGCACGGGAGGTCTTACTGGGAAGGTGCTGTTGAGCTGAGAATTAGAACAATGACAAGAGTCCCACTGTTATGAGAGGAGCTGTAAGCTAAGGAGGAAAAACGTTGGGTTTGTGAGCCGGAAGAAGAGATTTCTCTGATCCTAGCCACACTCGGTTACCCTGCTATTCACTGCTAACATCCTTGTCTTCTATAGCATTGTCATTAGGCATTGATGTGGTTGTTTAATTATTGCCTCTCTTCCCCACTGATCTATAAATCACACCAGGAAAAGATCACATTTCTTTTGTTCACTATTGAATCCTCTGTGCTGGCATATAGTAGATGCTCAATAATTCTTGAAAGAACAACGGAAAAAATACAGAAAATTAAAGCAACCAAGGCATTCGTGATAGCATGGCTCTAGCACAAGTGAACAATAAAATAGGGTCGTATTACCTGTTCAGTTGAAGATATTATTGGCTTGGTATTTTAGTAACTCATCGTGTTTCACAAATACATCCATTAGCACATATCTTGTACTATTATTAAGCTTAAATACATGAGCTATTAATTTTTAGCTGAGAGATCCCTGACTTCCCATTATCGTGGCATATTATCTTTTGAACTCAGTCAGAAAATCATTGTTTTACAGCTATAGAATTTTTAGTTAAGCGGAAATCATTAAATCACTGGTCTCATCAATTCAAATGCTCAGTGTTCCTTTACTATAAAATGTGTAAGCATTGCTTGTTTCTGCAGATGGACTCCATCAACTCGTTGCTGCTTTCCTCCCTCAGACGCTAAATGAATAAACAAAATGCCTTAACTGTAGGTTTTTCCGAGATTCCAGCAGGAAAAGTTATGTTTAGGTCATTAAGATCAAAGTACCTGGACAAGGGTTCCTGGCGTATATTCTCCATCCTCTAGGACAAGTTTGGAGCCATACCAGAAGGCCAGTGCATAACAGAGGAAGATGAGACACCACATGAATCCAGTAAAGAATCCCATCACGATCCCTTTTCTAATTCCCCAACGCTGGGCAAACACAAGATTTTTCTCGTACCTGTGAAGAGAAAGCATTTGTGTCTACAGCAGCAGCAGCAGCAGCTCAAGTTAGAATGTTTAAATCAGCCACAATGCCGTGCTTTTACTCAATGGTCATAAAAATCACCCCAGACACACAGCAGCTTTCGGGAAAGAAAATGACAAACTTCCGTGTAGTTATTTAGCTTATTTCAACCTGGCAATGAAATGTGTTGAAGGAACAATGCCTAACCAAACCTCACGGCTGATTACTTCTTGGAAAAGAACAGTGTGAGAAAAGTGGGAACTTTACCCCAAGAGAAAAGAATTTTCAACACAAATGTTTGGACGTGAGGGATTTAGTACTATTTGTGCTTGGATTGTTTTTACCAAGTCACATGGCATGCTTTCTATCAGAAAATGATGCAACTTTTTCCCCCAGGTTCAGAACCAGTGTTTGCACCAACTCATCTCCGTACACTCACACCATCTGCCCTGTGACCAAGAATGCTATGTTGTAACATGACCGGTCAGGTTCACAGCCATGGGATACGGATAACTATGTAGAAATTCAATCTAAGCACTAGGCTGCAGTGATTCTATGATCTAGCCATTAATAACTGGCATTGTCTTGAAGTTCAGACATTCTGTAACTGCCTTCCTTCATCTCAAAAAATAAATTCATGGAGAACTTTTAATATTTTGCAGGACAAAGTGAAGGTCTATCCTATGTTCCATTTTCAAAACATTTACAAAGCTGCTATTAATAACAATAATGAGTATCTTTTGTGGTGGAGGAAGTATGCTACTGAAATTTTTTGTGAGAAACTAGGTAACTTCACTCTATAAACCAAAAGAAGGAAAACAAACAAACAAAAAAAAAAGGAAAAGAGAATAGAGATTGTAAATTCTATTCTCTTTTTTATTTGGTAACAATTGAGACTGACATCGTCATACTAGATCTCAAACTCATGAAATAAGAATTGAATTAAATTGGTGGCTATTTTATAAAATCAGTACCTGGCACTGGTACTTAAAAAATACTAGGTAAGAGGAAGAATTAACAAAATCAAATTCTCAACAACTGTGTTGTTTGGGTTTCATTAAGAATTAATCTTCTGGAATGATGGTCTGTAATATACCAACGCTAAATTTTCTTTGAGTAAATGGAAATTTCATCAGACTTTATAAAGAGCATGTAGTACAGTAGCTGAATAAAAGACACTGAATAAAAATGTGGTGAACTGCATTTTAGGTATCTCGCAGCAAACAGTGTTACGGGCCATGAGGTATAATATGCATACATACCATGAGGTATAATATGCATACATATGCATACATACACACCACCAGAGTTGAAATAAATACCTAACCTAAAATGGCATTCTAAAAATCTCCAACTACAATGTTTTCAAAAACACAGAGCTAAAGGCTTGGGGGTCCTTGTAGTGCTTTGCCCAACTAATTACTCTCAGCTACCTCTTGAATAAAATCTCTCTCACGGTAAACAGACCAAGGTAAATCTGCCACTTTGTACAAAATAAGGAAGATTCAGGGTAGTAGGCCAAACGACGAAATTCAGGAAAGTGGCGGACGTTTCAATAAACCAACCTTTCAACCTCTTTTTTTTCACCACCAAAAGCAGCCACCGTTCGCATAGATGAAATGACTTCATCAGCCACTGACCCTGCTCTGGCGTAGGCCTTCAATTCATAGTCAGTAAACTTGGACACACTCTAAAATTCAAAAGAAGAAAACAAAACCAGGGAATTAAGTAAGTCAGTCTGTCATTCAGTGATTCATTTAGCAGAGTAAGTACGTGGTGTGGTTTCGTACAAGACTAGATTCTCTCCGTTAACGGTGTTCACGGAGGAAAGAATCTGGTCCAAGTTTGAACCGTGTTAAGCCCCATCCACGAATGTCTGGTTGTTAGCATACCAAAATGACTTCTTTAGAAGTCAGCCTCAAAAACCTCACAGAGTAAGTCCCCAATAGGGAATTCTGTGAGACCACAGTGTTTCATTCATTATACTAATGAAGTTTGCAGGTGACTCCATATCACATTGCATTGCTATTGACCACAGGACGTTTGCACAATTTACGGACAAACACCAGAGACAGAGACTGGAGCTTAGTCAGAGTATATAATTGGGAGAGAAGTCCTGACCATACAGAGGCTCATGATACTGCAGAGGTAATTGCACAGGAGAAAGCTCCAGATAAATATTACACCATTTTGACTCAACTGTAGGGGCTCAACTAACTAAAGAGCAAAGTTAAAAACTTTGCTCTTTACAAAAGGAACCAAAAAGACATTACACTTAATATTTAACAAATTACTTTTTCTAAAATTGGACTTGGACTGAGTTGTAATTAGAATTAATCACCAAAGAAATCCCTGGCACAGATGAAGATACCAGAATGAACAAAAGCAAATATTGTAGAAGTTCGACTAACTCAGAAATCTAAAATATATATAGTACCCAGACTAAAGGAGTTTATCTTCCAAGTTTTTCCAAACTTTTAGCAGTTTAACTCTTCTCAAACAAAATCTTAAATGGAATTCTAAGATACAAAATAAGTAAATGCAGTATTGTTACAACAAATTTATGTCACAAGTCCACACTTTATAAAAGTTGTGAATTGAAAAGGCAACAATAGGGAAAGTAGGGCTATTTTCATCAACATGAAAATATGAATTTAGGTGTTACGAATGACGTTACAGTTTTTACCACAATCCTCTTCTAATTTATTTCTAAATTATGTATTGAGGAAATTAAGTAGTTGTGAATATTAATAGTTTTACTGTAATTTAATGTACATTAAATAATCTCAGGATACTCCCATTAAATTGATACGGGAGTTTAAAGATGTAAATTGGAAAATATTTAATGATTGTTCATGATTCTCATGGTAAATATAAAAGTTAGATTTACCATTCTCATGGTAAATATAAAACCCACAATAACATGTAACATGTCATATATTTTGCCCGCTCTTACTTTTTTTTTTTTCCTTTGGGTCCTGCTTTTGAACTGCTCAGTGAAGTTGCTTATATCATTTTATACAAACATGCACAGACTTGAATTCAAGAAGAAACCAGTGCAGAGCTACAACATTCCAAATCAGTGACACATTTACAAGAACTTGGAATATGGGCACTTGAGATAGCAAGAGAAACCATGCCCTAAGCCTGTTAAAATCAAGTTACCCAGGCTACATCTCCACTGTGTTGAAATGTGACATCTGACTCATCTGAGTATGAATATTAACCACAGGTTTGAGGAAAGAAATTAAGTATATGGGGGCGGGGGGAAGCTGAATCAAATGTTCGCAGAATCCCTGAAGATCCCCCACGGATGGTGAGGCTTCCCTGGAGTGAAGCTTGAGAGTGTTTAGTAGGAAAGACTATCAAAAAGCTCACACGTTATGGTGGATTGGAAAAAATAAAAGCTAGTGTCTCTCGAGCAATTAATTCTGTGCCAGATGCCACACTAAATTCATAACATGGATTATGCCTTAAGTCATCACAATGACCTTTATCCTTCTCTTCAAGATGAGGAAGCTAAAGTTTTGACAAGCTAAATATATCTTTCTTGAGCCAGATGGTAGAGTCAGGGGCTGACCTATTGAGAGGAGTGAGCTCTTTGCCTTTGTCAGTCTGTACTACCTGGGAAATATTTGAGTAATATAGCCAGTCGATTGTTGAGAATATTTTGCTAGAAACTGTTATGGAGATTGGTTTCCTGCTGCCCAATGATGGGAGTGTATTCAGCTTTCCACCTGAATTCTATTCTCATTTACAGCAAATTATTAGTTTGCCTGATCCTGTGACCTGCTATCTGATGTGTCTGCTCTAAAAGTATGATATAAGAATTTATTAATCCTTGAGAGTGTTTTCTAATGGATGACCCAAAATTCCTACTCCTACACTTTTTCTTGGCCTGCATGCCTGGGGAATGGGGATACCGCTGGGAATGGGTCAAGTGACCTCTTCCTGAAACTGATCAGACTGCATGGAGAGCACAGATGTGAATGCAGAAATCTCCTTTATGTGTTTGTTACTGATCTGAGTACATCTGTTGGGCCTTTTTGAAGAAAACATCTGAGCTTGGGAGACCATGGGAAGCAACAGGCATATGAGAGAGTGGATGGGGATTTGGAATCAGGCTCCTTTGTATTTGAATCCAGTTTTGTCACTCACTAGCTGTGCAGTCCCAGACAAGTCTCTTTACCTCTCTGAGCCTCCATTTCTTATGTTTAAAATGGCATTAATGCTTTATAAGATTGTTGTAAAGATTAGAGATAATAAATATGAAGTTCCTAATAGTGCGTGGCAAAAGAGTAAATGCTCAATAAATGTAGTTGTTATTGTTATTAATACAATAATATTTATGTTATTAAAATATCATCAGTCCCTGGATTGATGGAATGTTATTTGATACTGAGGAATAACCAAACAAAATAAATCAAAACAGTGATAAATAATATTGACTAAACATACGCAGGAAAAAGGAATCAAGTTTCACATTTCTGGCTGTTTCTCAGGGCAGATGTCCTGGAGAAAAGTGATAAGACATTCTTACCAGACCAATGATGGCTGCTCCAATCCCGATGAGAGGACTCACAGAGATAATGACCAGGGTCAGTTTCCAACCCTGGTAAAATCCCAGCAGGAACCCACAGATGCTCGTGGTCATGCGCTGAATGAAAATGGCCATTTGGTCGGCAATGGCATCATTGACTTTGTTAATATCCCTAGAAACAAGAGACTTGGATCACTAAAACTGAATTTGGTCAATTCAAATGCCTTGTTGAGAAATCCCAGGCTTTCCCTGCTACTGCCATCTCTGTACCCCATTGCCTAGGAGAAACATAACAGCCTTTCACATGTGAAGAAACCTGCTATAGCTTGTGAGGCCATCAAGCCTCTCCCTCCCTCACAGCCAAGTAAAGTTTTCCTCAACCCAGGTTTGCCAAATGGTGTCCATTCAATGTTGACAAAGACTTTCAGAAACCATCTTATCTGTGCCTTTCTTTCTTGTAGTTCATATTCTTGGTCTGTCCTGAAGAACCCTACTTTCCTTCTTTATACCTGCTAAATCCTTTCAGCCTCAAGGTGCAACCCACACACTACCTAATTCGTAAAAACCCTCGAGCAAAAACTAATATCGTCCTCCCTGTGTTTGCATAGCAATGTAATGAGTCTGTGTTTGTGTGTGTACGGGTATATAATTATTGCATTCTGCTTATAGGCAGTATAGAATAGTGGTTAAGATCACAGACTGTGGGGCCAGACTCTGAATTTGAGCACAAGCTTTTCCTGGGCAAATTACTTAAACTTTCTGTGCCTTAGTTTCCTCATCTGTAAAACAGGGATAAAGACAGAACCTACCTCAATGGGTTGTAATGAGGATTAGTTAATATATATTAAGTATATAGAAGAGTGCTTAGAGTATAGTAAGCTATCAACGTGTCAGCTTTGTTTATTTATTTGCTTGCAACTTTTATCCCTCCTACAAGGCTGTAAGTTCCCTGAGATCAGGAGTTGTGTGGTTTATCTTTATGGCTTACATATGGTAAGTCCTCTAGAATATTGGTTGAATACAATTACATTAAATTCATATTCCTAGGAACATTCTCATAATCTCTTGTTTAGATGGAGCAAACAGGGCTTAGGACTTAATAGCAAAAAAAGGACCTAAGATATTACCCAGAGATTTGACAATTGTATTCCAGCAAGGTTAAGTATTTATTCAAAGTCACAGTAAGTAAGGGGCAGAATGAGTGCTAGAATCTAAGTATCCCAACATTCAGTCTTTGATCTTCACTATACTACACACATGGGACCTCATGGGACCCCAAAGTTCAATTCAATAGGGTTCAATTGCTTCTAATTACTCAGGGCTCTTTCAGAATACTTGGAGGAGGAAGGGAAGGGGGGCTATCAATCACCCCAACTGGTCTTTAGGTATAAACCAGATTTAAATCCAATTGTTTAGTTTCAATCTTTCTCAAACTACTTTGGATTTTTTTTTTTTGGTCTTTGTTTTTATGTGCACAAATGGCCTCAACAGACGAGGCAAGATAATTCATTCTAAGTACATTGTTTTTCCCTATAGACACATGGACTGTGACATCTCTCACTCTCTCTTTTAGAGGCCAAATAGCCCTACTTCTTTTAACTCTCTTCTGTAATCCTTCATTTCTAATATTTTAATCAAGGGCCTACAAACAAAATTGTAGTATCCTGGCTTTCAATTGTTAATGATCATATCGGATAAAGCATTACCTATGAAAAAACATGCTACCCGTAAAAGCCCAACTTAAGAGACAAAATATATCCAAAATAACTGAAAATGTGTTTCTAATTGTTATTTAATTTAGAAACAAGTGTTCTATGATCAAAAGCGGACACACATATTAAAACCTCCTACCAGCCACTTACTCAGAAAATCTTGTATTCAGCTCTCCCACGGAATTGCAGTCGAACCATCCTATTTCCATTCGCATTACTTTCCTAAAGGAAATTTTTCTCATTTTCTGTATCTGACGAGCTGCAGCAATCACCCAAAAGCATATCTGAAAATGGAGCAAGGATGTTTGGCATTGTGGTGTTAAAAATATTCATTCATTCCTTCTCTTTTCAGAAGAAAATACTTTCAATATAAGCCTTGAGAAAGAGAGGAAAGTGATTCACAGAATGCCGAGTCATGGGACGTGCTGTGTGAGCTCAGGCACCTGCTGCTGAAAGCGGGGTGAGCAGAACAGCTGTGGCCAGGGAAACCGGAAGGCTTGGGTGTGAATTTGGTTTTGCCACCTGTAGATCTAGCCTTACCAAGCTTCACTTTCTGCATGTGTAAAGGAAGGCTCACAGTGCCAAAAAGAAATTCTTGCTCTTATATCCCTATTTTTGCAAGGAGCTTCTGAGTGTATTCCCCCCCGCCATCGCCCGAGAGGCCTGCCAACAAGTATGTATGCATAGTTTTCAGACTGTTGGACAATGATTTTTCAGAGAAAGGAAGACAAAAACAGATTAGCTGTCCCCAACCAAGCAAAGTCAGGCTGTAATTGAAACTCTCAGTACTAGAATGGGAAAAATGGATTCATTTCTCTTTACAATGAACATGAACTTCCCGGAATTCTTGAATGAATGCGGGTTGAGGGGATTCATTATTTCTTCTACAGAATAAGGTAAAAGATGAAATATTTTTCTTCTTTAATAAAGGTTAAGTAACTCCAGGCCCTTCCATGGCTTAAATCTAGACTAGATTCACTTTACAGAATTGGGATTGGGACACAGATTGGTGAGATTTTAGCAGTGAAAGAGAAAAAAAAGTAAAGTTTGCTTTCCTCCAACTCCTCATGCCTGGCTTTCTCCAGGGTGCCCACACTCCCTTTACAAACACACCTACAACGGCCTATTTTTGAGTTTAGAAGATGAGATAGAGGGGGTGGGGGAGGACAGGGCATTGAAATTCAGTCTAGTCACTGTCCCTCTAGACAACTGCATGTATTTTCCTCCCTGTCTGAGAAGAATCCTGCCCCATTCTCTCACCGCCCCCCACCTCCAAATAAAACTGTAGTCCTTAGGGCTTCCAAACAACCTAAAAGTTAAAGAGTGCACTTTGCAGTTCATTGTAATGTCTCTGAGCCCAGATGTTGTTCTATAAATAAAATGGAGGCACCACTCACCTGAATATATCCTGTGATAAGTACTACCAAAGCGATCCCAGCATAGTAACTGGCAAATTTGATCATTTCACTTTCAATGTCCAGCAACCTTCAAAAGAGGGGGGGGGTAAATGTTAAGATTCAGAAGTAGGGTCAAGCTTACCAAAGATTACATTTGCGGGTACAGAGGAAAATAAAATATGAAATATGGGTAAGGCTTCTTACCTATGTAGAATTATCATCGATCCAACCAAATCTCTACCTAGACCTCGTGTGGTACCAACTCCAGCAAAGCTGCCTACTCCCTTCGCTTTCATTTTGTTTTTTTAAAAGATATTATCTATTTATGTGAGAGAAGGAGAGAGCGCATCAGTGGTGGGGGGGGAAGGGCAGAAAAAGGGAGAAGCAGACTCCCCGCTGAGCAGGGAACCCCATGCAGGGCTCAATCCCAGGACCTCGGGATCATGACCTGAGCTGAAGGCAGACGCTTCACCAACTGAGCCCCCCAGGCGCGCCCGCCCCCTTCCTGCTTATAGGCAGAAATGACTCACTGGCAGTTGGAAGCCAGGGGCAGTAGACAGCAGCCCAGTGCTCTGTCTACCGAGGCCCTTCACTCCAGCTCGTTACTCAGTGATGGAGTAATCAGTGCTAGGGAGAGGTTTTAAAAAGCCAGACTGCTGTCTGCAAAGACACTGACGTGAACTGTAAATCAGGAGGCTTTACTATTACCTCCTCCAGGAATCTAAGCCAGCTTTCCAACTCTTCCATCTCAAAGTGACACTCAAAAAATGTGTGTGTCATCATCCCAAAGAAGGACAAAAACACTTTATCAGCCAGTCCTTCTGCTGACTGTAGCCCAGGGGGTTTCACTCTGTGGGACAATTTCTAAGGTGAGAATTTGTGGGGAATAGCGAGAAAGCTCCACAGCGTTTTTTTCAGCGCAACTACCACGCTGTGGCACAGAGCTTGGGGATTGGCAAGGCTAGGGAGGGGAGGCACAAAGCAGTCTGAAATTGCTTTCAGAAAATAAAGAATAGGGTACTTGGAACATTGACATCTTGGTTGATAACAATTCTGACCCTTGAGGATGCTCTAAACGATAGCAAATCCATTTCTTTAGAAAACCAGAAAGCAGCATCTTCCACAGAGATGCTCTCATCCTCTGAGCTCTCTGCTTCCCGTCAGGCCTCTCTTCTGCGACCCAAGCTTGAATTGTTCTCTCCCTCTACTGAACTTGGACTATGTGGTGAAGTAAAATTTCTTTAATTCAGAACAAGCTATTATTATTATCATGCCAGATTTTATTGCCATCTTGTACTATTATTCAATATCTTCATTGAATATATTTATACTGAATAGATTTATGTTTATTTGCTAGATTGCAAGCCACTTGAGGGCAAGGGCTTGGTTTAGGCTGCTTGCTCACACTGCCCGAAGCCTTGCACAATACCTTACACATAGCAGACACAATACCTCAACAAATGTTTCTTTATTTCGCTTTGACTTTTAAAATACTTATAAGGAAGGGATATAATTGCCTTGGTCAATCCTTCTTTGGAGGGATAGTCTCCAAAACAGCTAATATGTCTGTTCACCACATTTCTGGTCTTTTATGATGGTTTAAGGGAACCCCAAGAATGAACAAGACCTAAAAAAACTTATATATAAGTATCCACAATCAGAGGTTCTCACAAAAGTTAAGTATCTCTGGATAGGATGCATAATGAAGAAAAAGACTTCTAATGTGTAAATGAGGCCATACTCTTAGTTTTCTGTGAAATTTTTCATTGTGAAATGAAATTAGGGTGTCCAAAAACAGAGAACTTGGAGTATTTGTCAAAAAAAGTTTTACTTAGATTTCCTGTGGTGCATTCCTTCTACACACGCTCTAAGCAGAGGGGACAAAATGGCTGCCATGAAAGACACAGCTGCCAGGTACAAACAGACCCACTCACACTGAAAATACTGAGCACTGACCCAGCTCCAGAATTTATTGGGGCAAACTTCAGGAGAATTATGTCATTGCTGGATGGTATGGTTAAGGACATGTGTAGTTTATGATTCAGTTCATTCCTGAGGCAACCCAAAGATGAATGATGAACTCATTTTTATTTTATTCTTGGGGATAAGAAGTTATTAGGATTTTAGAAACTACTTGAGAATATTTCTGGAACAACAGGACAAACCTGTCAGACTGATAGGAAGGAAACAAGCAGGCTGGCTTGGCTCCTTTGACTGCACATCAAATTTTTTATCATCTGGTGGAAAGTTTTCTTGTGGTTATAAAATCCTGGAAAGGATTTTTTAAAGTATGCAGGCGATTTGGCTCACCAAATGGGTGCCTTTCTTTTTAACAGCAAAATTGACGTACATCTACTTGACTAAATTAAGATTCTCCTGGCTCATTTGTTGAAGAGAGGAGAGGGCAGAAAGATGACAATTAGGGGGGAAAGGTAAGATATATTTTACAAATTATTAAGATACGTGGATTCTTACTTGCTTTTAATGAAAAACAAATGCAGCATAAAATCAAAGTACTCATTTTATACCTCAAGGTTTCAGATTTACTAAAGCCATAGGACTTTCGTTTTAAATACCTAGGAGGTCTTTATGACAAGGTGCATTGCTTAACATGGAGTTTTCCTTTCAATGGTTTTCATGCACAGTAGACCCGGTAGCATTAACATTTTAGAGTGAAATCAGTGTCAACTCCAAAATGAGCAATACAGGTTGGCAGAAATGTGCCCACATCCTACTCTCAGAATGTTGGAGGCTCTGTCTTAATGCACAGGACATCAACCTGTGGACAAATGGCTGATCACTGGGTAAAGCTGCTTTACAGAACATCTATACACTGTGGTAGCTTACTGTCAGAATGGCTGGAATTTCCTTTCAGAGAATCTATGACAGTTTTTTTCACCCAGGAGGCTATTTTTTTGTCGGTTTGTTTTTCATGCAACTTTTTCATTTGAGGTAAGTGTGGATTCTCATGCAATTGTGAGAAGTAATACAAAAAGATATACACCCTTTGGTAATACCTTGCAAAACAACAGGACAATATCACAACCAGGATGTTGACATTGATATAATCAAGATCAGAATGTTCTCATCACCCCAACGATTGTTCATGTCACCCTTTTACATCTACACATGCTTGCATCCAGCCTCCACTCTCCCCTTAGTCCCTGGCTACCTCCTATCTGTTCTCTATTGCTACAGTTTTGTCATTTGAAGAATATTATACAAATGGAATCACACAATATATAACTTTGGTATTGGTTGGATTTTTTTTTACTCAGCATAATTCTTTAACGTTTCATAAGTTATTTGTTCCTCTCTATTGTTAAGTAGTATGCCATGGTACAGATATATCACAGTTGGTTTAACCACTCACCCATTGAAGGATATCTGGGCTGATTCCAGTTTTTGTTACAAATAAAGCATCTATAACCTTTACGTATAGCTTTTTATGTAAACATAGTTTTCATTTCTCTGGGATAAATCCCCAACAGTAGAATTTCTGGGTTATATAACACTTGCATGCTTTTTTTTTTTTTTAAATTGCCAAACTATTTTCCAGAGTGGCTGCACCATTTTGCATTCCCACCAGCAGGGTATAAGTGATCCATTCCTCCACATCCCCACCAGCTCTGGTGTTATTACTATTTTTATTTTAGCCATTCTGATAGATTTGTGCTGATATCTCATTTTTATTTTAATTTGTATTCCCTAACCACCAATGTTGCTAAATACCTTTTCATGTGCTCATTTGCTGTCTTTATATCCTTAGTGAAATGTCTGTTCATGTGTTTTTCCCATTATTCAAATGGGAGTTTTTCTAACCATTGAATTTGGAGAGCTCTTTTTATTTTCTAGATCCTAGTCCTTTGTTAGATACATAATTCACAAATATGCTCTCCCAGTCTGTAGATTTTCTTTTCATCCTCTTCACAGGGTCTTTTGCGGAGCAAAAGTTTTTCATTTTGATGAAATCCAATTCAACAATTTTTCTTTTTATGGATTGTACTTTTAGTGTCAAGTCTGAAAGCTCTTTGTCTAGCCTTAGACACGAAAATGATTGCCTACATATTTTTCTAAAAGCTTATAGTTTATTTCTAACATTTAAGTCCAAAATCCATTTTGAGCTATTTTTTGTATGGGTTCATTTTTTCCCTATGGATGTCCAACTAGTCATGCACCATTTGATAAAAAGTTTATATTTTCTCCATTGAATTTCCTTTCCACCTTTGCCAACAATTAACTGGACACGTTTGCTTGGGTCTATGTTTGAGTTCTCTGCTCTGTTCCTCTGTCAATACCACACAACCTTAATTGCTGTAGCTATATGTCTTGAAATCAGGTAGACTGTTTCCTCACACTTTATTCTTCTTTTTTAAAGTTGTTTTAGATATTCTAGTTCTTTTGCCTTTTGATATAAATTTTAGAGTTATCTTGTCTATATCTATAAAAATATCTTGCTGAGATTTTGATAGGAATTTTATTATAGCTATATATCAGTTAGGGGGAATTGACATCTTTATTATACTGAATTTGCCAGTTCATTAGCAAGGTATGTCTCTCCATCTATTTAGGTCTTAGATTTCTTTCATTAGCATGTTGCATTTTTCAGCATATAAATCCTGTACATGTTTTGTTAGATTTACACCTAAATAAATTTTTTGAGCAATTGTAAATGACATTGTATTTTGTTTTGTTTTGTTTTAATTTTTGGCATTATATTTTGAATTTTGGTGCCCATATGTTCAATGCTAGTATGTAGAAATACCACTAAATTTTGTATATTTATCTGGTATTTTATGACTTTGCTAAACTCATTTATTGGTTCTAGGATATTTTTGTAGATCCTTTGGAATTTTCTATGTTGACAATAATATCATGTCCAACATAAATGGGTGTATTTCTTCCTTTTAGATTTGTATTTTTTTCATTAAAAATTTTTTGATTGTGATAAAGAACACATAACATAAAATTTACCAACTTAACCATTTTTAAGTGTACAGTTCAGTAGTGTATTAAGTATTAAATCAATATTCCTTTCCTTCCTTATTGTATAAGCTAGAACTTTGAGTATTGTGTTGAACAATAGCA